TATTACTTTTTATACCCCCATTGAACAACAGGTCCAAACAGTGGCCAACTTATAAACTCATTGGACTTCATATAAGCCTTAATTTGTGGCAAATTTTCAAATCGATCCAAATATTGAACCAAATTGTTGTACTTCTTGATGGTCTCCGGACTGAACAGTCGGAACCAATCGAGGACTTCGTAGCCCAAGAAGTCGACATAAGTCAATGTCTTTCCGGTGAGCCACTGATCACTGCCCAAGAACTTCGACAACTGATCCAACCATTGAGGAAGTGTTTCGGCAATAAATTTCTTTTTGTTTGCTTCAAAGCCCTCTTTATTGAACACAGTTTGCAGAAACCCTGTCCTGTAGTCAAAGAGCTGCTGTTCCACCAGATCTTGTCGCACGAGTCCGGTCTCATCCCTGGCCACTAAACCGTGTTTTCGACCCAAATATCGCAAAATAGCGATACTTTGGGTGAGCTTTACGTTCGCATCGATATAATAGGGAACGTTAGGGAAGTCCAGTCCTAACGTAAACTTCTCTTTATACCAGTGATCACGTAAGGTCTCCGGAGTGGACCCAAACTCGTAATACTTGTCCGTAAATGGAGTTCCCGTGTATTTCAGTAGTAGTCGGGATGGCTGAGCAAATGCTCGCACCTTATAGTAGCCTAAAGTGGGGACAGACATGATCTTTACAATAACTAAAGTGATATATTTGTTAAATATTTATTGGAAAACTAAATATATTTTACACTGAATTCAACACTTGAAAAACACTTGTATTTATAGTTAAGTGAAATATATGTTAACTGTTTGGTTACAGTTACTACTGGCATTCCGGGACAATCCCTATTGACCTTGATATGTTATGTAATTATAAATACAATATTCATCCAATATATTCAACCTTGTTAAAATTTTGTTCGGATTTAAAATATCACATAACAAATACATAGTGATTTATTTAAACTGAACTAGTTATTTTAACATTAACTTTAACAATATTAACAATTTTAGTAATTTGTTATTGAATAAAATATTGTAAAGAGCTTTAACTGTAATAATGGGAAATGAATAAGAATTAAAATCATACATCGAGATTACTTTACTATCGTATTATATAACCTTGATAACCTGTAGTCTATAAATGTTTAACATAAATTTATTATTTTATCTTACATTATATTTTATCAGAATGTCCACTAATAACATAACTTGAGTGTTGGTCACCCTGGCGCTAAGTGTTTAATACTCACTCAATACAGTGCGCCGCAGTAATCACCCATCGATCGTTTATAATGGATCCAGTACATGTTGCGCTAATAATGTATTATTTATACAGTAAATTAGTAAACTTTAAGACAATATGTTTTGTTTTAAACAATGCTTTCCGGTAAACAATAGATAATTCTACGCTTAATTTTATGAACCAAATTGCCTTAAAGTTTACAGGTTATTAAATAATTATTCAAAATAAACTATGTCAATTTGTTTTTGGTAATTTATGTAGCAACTGATATACTGTATGTATTGTATATGATTAAATCATGATAAGCATTACTATGTAAAGGGTTTTTATTTTGAAACCAAGGATTTTGTATTGAAAATTAAAATACTAAATATATGAATATTTTGATAAAAGTACGCCAAAAATTATAATCAACATATTATACTTATACAGTATCACCAAATTTGCAGTTAATATCTTAAGCAATTGAATCAATGAATGCATGCATTGTATAGCACTGTACGGAAACACTAATTTTATGAGCTCTTAACACGCGCGTTACTGAATTTACATTTAGATTATGACCTAGGTATAAAAGTTAAGCAAGTTTGGTGATAAACGCATAGAAAATTCATTATTGGTGAACATTTTGATGTACTTTTTATTGAAATATTCAAATGTTTATATTTTATTTTTAATACGAAATCCTTGATTTCAAAATAAATACCCTGTAGTTTCAGTGGTGGTCCAGAACCAAACTTTAACTTCTTTGACTCTAGCGATCCATATATAGCAAATCCACGGCATTTCCCCCACTTCTGCCGGCCGTCCCATAAATATACGGCTCAACACTGGGTCACCACTACTGGAGTGCCATCGGAAGCACCGGTCGTTCATTGCATGCGAATCCCTCGCGAGTCCGCAGTCATGTCATCGCTCGTGACGTTCGGATAGTAAGCGATTCGCGCGTCAATTGTGTGACCGATGCTCACCATCACAGACACCAAACACATCCACAACACTATAACTAGAGTTCGGAAATATTGCCAATTTAAGTATATCTTCCATTCTTTCCTAAAAAATATATTTCCTTTCCTTTGGCAAGAAATGAAAAATTATTGCCAAACTTACAAACCAAATAAAACCCCGTAATTTAAAAGCCAATCCTTATATTATAAGCCCTAGAATCTTAGGCGGTGTCCTCATACAGTAGTAGTGCTAAAATAAACTTAAATAAACAAAATATATAACTCAAAACATTTATTTTTCAAAAATTCAAATCTTATACAATAGTCATTAAGTATCAGTAAAAATCTCAATGTCACTATCATTGTCTAAATCTAAATCCTTGAACTACCATGCTCATTTTTCAAGTTTCATTCGATGAACGAATGAATTACCTAGGTAAATTCGATGAAAGAATGAATTACCTAGGTAAACTTAAGACTCAAAATTTGGCGCTTTTCTATATATTTTAGTTTATTTTATAGTTAGGGAATAATTAACTAACTTTGCTTGCCACTACCCCTGATACTTTCCCTTCCAGGCAAGGAAATTAATTATTAATTTCTTGCGCAATCTTTCCCTTCGGAACTCTAACTATAACACACATTCAGACACTCAATATATTTATCAGCAAGATTATTTTCATGTTATAAAACAAATTATTTTGACTTATTATTTTAAAATAATGAATAAATGGTATGGGTAACATTGCTTCAATTTTTAAAATTATAATACACGTTGAGTATAATGTAAATTTTAGCCATTATAAATATTAAAAGTTTATAAGCGCGACTTACCAAGGATATAAAAATTATAAGTTATAAAATAATTGTTCCCCATAATTTTAATATATTAATTTTAAAAATCAAAGTTTTATGTTTCATATATAATATTAAATAAGATAACTTGTAACTTGATTTGTAATTTAATAATTTAATCAAAGATCGCATTTCTCTCTCTCTCTCTCTCTCTCTCACTCACTCACACACACACACACAAGGCATCAGTTCATAGATCAGTTCCGTACTTTTGGCCAGTATTTAAGCCCAGGGGCAAATTGACCATAAAAACTCTATATTAAAAATATAATTAGGATACTACAATAAATACTTAATATTAATTAATAAAAAATATAATTGATAAAAAAATCAATCATGAAATAGAAAATAGTTTTGTTATACTGTATTATTTAAATATTTACTCCAAAATAATATACATTTAGTGCATACAAATTTTATTAACTTTAATTAACAAAACAAATAGTAATTTTATTTTATAAAAAAATTATTGAATTTATTTACTATAAAATAAATATTAAAATAAAAGTATATTTGTTATATTCTGAAAAGAGCAAGAATGCACTAAAATTATTAAATTTTATGCTAATTTAGTAATAGTATAGCAAACAGTAGTAATGCTAAATATATTACAGTATGCATCTATTTATACAAATCATTTACTAAGTTTATATTGACAAACAATAAGTATTGTACTTTTGATGAGTGAATAATACAGAGAATGTCATAATTATATTACCAATTGTATACCGAATATGGCATTGAATTCAGTGGATTTCCCTTTTAATGATTTTCTTTAGTGTAATATCTTTTCATAAAAATTGATTTTCTATATAAAAACAAACTCAACATTTTCTTATAAATGCAAATACTTGCTATGTTTGCAATACGTTTTAGCTCATATAGCCTACCTGTGCGTGATTAAAAAAATGTATTTTAACAGATAGTGAGACTATACGTACAGTTGGTCGGACAGTAGATTACATTTACTTCACATTAAGATCAATATTTTATATATAAATGAGTTTTTGAGCGAAAATTCATATTTCAGAAATCTATCATTTCGTGTATTTTGTGAATAAACATAAAACTTAACAAAAATTCAATAGTAATTTGCGACTAAAAATAAATAACTATGAC